TAAAAAAATTAATGTGACCTTGACCTGACCTTCGCTACGCAACCCAAGGTCAAACTGATGTGATCAGTAAATACATCTTTTTAAACGCCACAACTTTTATCTGAAACATTTTTTTCTAAAATGCTTAGTTTTCGAGATATTTCACCGGTCCGGGACTTTTTGAACACCTTGTATATATTCTGCAAGCAGACGTCAGGAAGAATGACCTACGAAAGTTTGTTTGGATAGTTACTATGATAATTTTTTTAAACATTTTTTGTATACTTTCTTGTCATATGTTTTCAAGTATCAAATCTGATGAACACAAAGAGATTAGATAAACATTAATATTGTCATGAGGTTACAACAACCTTAAATTATAAGATGGTAACATATTACACGGAGGTTAATAAACCTGTCACTCAACCTTCTAATAACATGAAAATGTTCGTCCATGCTCATTCCATTAAGATTGCAGAAATCTTACACGGAACGTTATATTAAAGTTAATATAATATGCCTAGAATTTTCAATATTTTTAATAAGAAATTCTTGTTAAAGAATTTCTTGATAAACTCGAGATCTCAGATACCTCTAAGTTCCTAGTCTATCATCTTTAGACGTTAGAAAAAAGACGTCAAAAAAAGACGTCTTTGAGACGTTAGAAACAAGATGTCTTAAAGATGTCACAAAAAAGACGTCTTTAAGACGTTAGAAAAAAGATGTCTTAAATAAAAAGTCTAAGGCCAGTATTTATAGTCAGATCTTATATTTAAGATCATCTTAAGTACTGTCTTAAGATGTTATGAACCAATCACAGAGCCGTATTCGCATCTTAAGACATTACTTAAGATGGTCTTGAAATAAAATTCGACTATGAATATCGGCCTAAAAGACGTCTTAGGCCGGTATTCATAGTCAGATCTTATATTTAAGATCATCTTAAATACTGTCTTAAGATGTCATGAACCAATCACAGAGCCGTATTCGCATCTTAAGCCATTACTTAAGACGATTTTGAAATAAGATTCGACTATGAATACCGGCCTAAGACCGGTATTCATAATCGAATGTTATTTCAAGACACACTTTCGATACACGAAAGCTACTAGAGACTAATTATGAGAAGAGAATAATTGCCTTTTTTACAAATGCGCGCGTTTTTATATGTCGCTTTGTCGTTGAGAGTCGTTCTCCAATTGGTCCATGGAGTTATGGCGAGGGAAGAGATTTATTCCTTTGCATGATGTCACCGCGTCGGTGTCCTGAGTGGTATTTGGGATTCTGCTTTCATGCTCCTGTTTATGTTAGCTTATCGCACTGAGCGATAACGGTTTCTTTAGGTCGATCCATCGATTTCAAGACTCTCCAGCAGCACGCAGCATTCGGCATTTTAATTATAATGTTTTAACGCTCGCGAATGTACATATGCGCACGTACTTACATCTAGTAACATAGGGATAAAATGTCTAGTGATGTCTGAAATCAGACAAGTCGGTCTCCCGGTCTATAATAATATATTATTAATGTTCTAAAATAGATCCGGACGTTACAATTTAACAGTCCATTCTATATGTCGATGGTTAAGCTGACCACACACACTTTCCATAACAGTAACCGTAAGGGCTATCGCACACAAATTGACATAACTGCATATGTATAGCATAAGATCGTATGGACCAATGAGCATCGAATATTAAGTATCGAACACCAATATGGCGACTTAATACTCGATGCTCATTGGTACATACGGTCTTATGCTATGCATATGCAGTTATGTCAATTTGTGTGCGATAGCCCTAAGACGTAACGTAAGAATTGACTAATTACGATCGAGGATTCACAAAAATGAAGACCTTACAATTCAACGATTCTCAACATGATTGGTCAATTCTTACGTTATGACTTACGATTACGGAATGTTACGGAAAGTGTGTGTGGCCAGCTTAAGAAGGGTTAGGCGACAATTTCCCGAAAAGTGGAAGAGATAATGTTGGTACCAAGGAAAATCTCTACACGATATAATTTGAAGGCTTGTTCTTTGTAACTACATTGTTGAACTGGTGCAATAAATTGAAGGGAAACAAATTTCTTCTCACCCTAACCTTTTACGTTAGTTCAGCAATGCAGCAAGAACAGATCATTAAATTATATCGCGTAGAGATTTTCTTTAGTACCAACATTATCCCCTCCACTTTTCGGGAAATTGTCGCCTAACCTTAAGGCCTATTCTACAATACATCGTATGTCGGAGTCGGGTGTCGGAATGCAGTCGATGGTCCAATGAGGAGAACTGATTAACATAAAATACACTCTCTCATTGGACCGTTTATTGCGTTCCGACATCCGAGTCCGACATATGACGTATTGTAGGACAGGCCTAAAAAGAAGTTGTCATAAACTACAAAAGTACTAGATGGTCGTGCCTATCATAATTTTCGGCCTTAGTGGAACTAACTTTAATGGCTCCTGCACACAGGACGCAGAAGTCCGCGCGACAACTAATCAATATGTTGTTTTTCCGTAAGAGCTAGAAGGTTATTATGGAAAGCAGCATATTGATTAGTTGTTGTGCGAACTTCCGCCGCGCGGCAAGCATTACCACGTTCTGTGTGCAGGAGCCATAATGCTGCGTTTGGAAACATACACTGTGTGCTCCTACTTGCTCCTACTTGCTCCAACGTACTCTAATTAGTGCGCGTGGTGACGTAAGCCAATCAGAGTGCATTGGAGCGAGTAGGAGCACGTTGGGACATGCGACGCGAACAAGCCTATTGTCGTAAACACCCTGATGGCTCCTGCACACAGGACGCGGTAATGCTTGCTGCGCGGCGGAAGTCCGCGCAACAGCCAATCAATATGTTGTTTTTCCATAAAAGCTAGAAGGTTATTACGGAAAGCAGCATATTGATTGGCTGTCGCACGAACTTCCGCCGCGCGGCAAGTGTTGCCGCGTCCTATGGGCAGGAGCCATGAGTGTTCCGAACAGCTATCGTCTAGTAGTGTGCATGCAGTGTTTCCGAACGGGTGGAACCCGATTGACCACGATAGGATTGGACACAGATTGTAATGATTAGTTCGACCTAGTAATTCACTAGATAATTCTTTTCATCGGTTGGTGTGTCCAATCGTACCGTGGTCAATCGGGACGTTCTCTTTCCGAACGCAGGCTAAATGGAAAGCTCAATACAATCGGGAGCGTTCCGATTGACCACGGTACGATTGGACACACCAATCGATGAAAAGAATTATCTAGTGAATTACTAGGTCGAACCGTCATTACAATCTGTGTCCAATCGTATCGTGGTCAATCGAGTCCTACCCAATACAGGCTGCGTTCCAAAATTAACTGCCAGTACTGAAAGTATGACGTTATAAAGTAGAACTGCGGATCCGTTCCGTAATTACTGATGCTGCTTTTCAGCTTGTAATGCAATCAATAACGGAACGGACTCGCAGTAGAAATATTCAGTATTGTGGAGGTTAAGATAAACAAGTTTCATAGATAATTATGGATCAAACATAGCGTGATATGGAGATTGTGATTTTAACAAAAGTTGTAAAATATGTAATAGAATCTTCTGAAAGTTCTTCAGATAGCGAAGAAGATGATATATTTTTAAGGACTCTTAATAGAAATTTGACTCCACGTTTTCGTTGCAAGGACTATGTTGAAAGTGTTATACCATTGTATACAGACGAGGAATTTCAAATGCACTTTCGGTACAGAAAACAATATACAATTTTTACCTAATGTACATCAAACGCATGTAAAAGAAATATGATAAAATGTGCCATTGATTATTAAAAAAAAAAAGTAATATCAAGAAAATGGAATTTATTGTTTCAGACTTAAACGAAGTACTTTTCAATTCTTATTTAAATTATTAAATCCTAAATTAAATAAACAAAATAAAATAAAAATAAAATAATTATAAAAGTAAAATAATTATTGATTATTACAAACTTATACCTGTATGTGCTTTTTCAGCATCTTCACGACTAACTGTTACATTATATATTTTATTACTTTCTGAACATATGAGGCTTAACGTCTCATCACAGAGCGCCGCCATTTTTTCACTGCTGGTGTCTTACCTCGCCAGCCGCAGTAACGAAAGCAGGAAATTACGTCAAAATATATGACGTCACGTGTTAACGAAAGTACATTGAAAGCTTACTGCGACGTATTTCGGAACGACTTTGCAGTACTGCAAGTACTGACAGTGAGTTTCGGAACGCAGCCACAATCACTCCCCTCATCTCTTGGTCTTCACCCCCGCAACAATTCGCCCCGTCCATTATGCTTACGTCCACAGGTGTAATAAATTGAAGTGAGACAAATATGTTTTCTCACTTAAACTTTTTGCACTAGTTCAGCAGTGCAGCTACAAAGAACAAGCCTTGTGATTCAGTGAGAAACATTTCATTAGACGAAATATTTTCTTAAACTTGAAAAGGTAAAGAATAAAATTTGATTTCTTTACGCGAAATATGCAGAGTTTTAACTTACTGTTTTGATGGTTATTTCATGAAGCACATTTTTACATAATTTTTTTATTTTTGGTGTGGAACTGCGCGCGTATATAGTAGCAAAACTTCAATTATATATTAATCACTGTATTTTCTCTCTCCAGTTGAAGAGAGTAATTCTAATAATATATTAATTTCTTTAGTATTATCTATTTTATAATTCACTTAATAGTAAAAACATAACTACATAAACTTGAATTGTTTATTTTACAATAATATATTTTAATTTAATTATTTTGTTTTAAGAAATTTCAAGACTCTCTCTCTCTTTTAGTACTAAAATGTTAGTATCACTGCACATTTATTATTATATACATTCGAACTAAAAAACTATCGTTATGAAGTTAATTAGAATAATATCCTTAAACGTAATATACATTATAAATATAACCATAATTTAAATTAGCACTACTATTTCATCATTCCTGAAAATAGTGGATTAAAAGTTGTATTTATTAACTATAAAATATATATATATATATATATTTTTTTTTTAGTGCAATTATTTGCATCACTTTTGTCTGTAAAACATTTAATACTGAAAATATATGAACTAATTTTCACAGTAAGATAATAAAATTGCATTCAATGCATACCAGTGTTGCACTAGTTTTCCTAATAGAAAACTATAAAGATGAAATTAGTTTCTTTAGATTTTCAAAATAAAATTTAAAAAATACAAATATCAGAATTCAAATATTGTCATTTTAAAGAAAATACAAGTATATATTTTAATTAACTGAATAATATTATTATGTAGAAGAATGTCGGATGATTTATTAGCCAAGGAAAAAGAATTTCATAAATTGAATCAAGAACTTCAACTAAAGAAGTATGATGTAATGAAGAAAATGAGCTTCTTTACACATGCTAATACTACTAATGAATCGTTCAACAATATAAAGCAATATATAAATCCTACGATGAAAGATGTAAGAACAACATATCTAAGAGATAAAACATCAAGCACAGACAAACAGTTAAGAAAATCATCACCTGAGGTTTCTGAAGTTCTGTCTATAGAAAATATTGCTGACACTGAGATTTCATTAAAAAAGTATAATAATTTAGGAAATGAAGCTATTATTAAATTGCTTAAAGGCAAGATAGATATGTTATATAAGGAACTACAAACAATACAACATGAATATAACAATGAGGTAATTATTAATATTATAACAAAAAAATCTTCAGTTGTACCTTTGTATGGATAATTTTATAAAATATTGTCCATAGTGTGGATATTCTAAAGAATTAGAGGTGAAAAATAAAAAACTTAATGAGACTCAAGTTAAACTACACAGCCAGATAGGATCATTAAGTGATACAATTACAAAGTTGCAAGATATAAATCATGATATTCTCTCAAAGTATCAAGGTTTGAGTAACGAGAATATTGTCTTGAAGAAGGTATTTTTGTATTTTAATTTTATTATAATGTACTACAAGGTGGGACATATAAAATGTTGCAGACTAATACCTTGGAAGAAACCCTCACAAAAAAAACACCTAATTTTTTGGGTAAAAATACTCTCGAAAAAAACCCTCAAATGTTTAGTGTAAATTTGGATCGTTAATTGACCGTTTGGTCAACACCGAAATGAGAGTTGACCTTAAACAAAAACCTCAAATAAGTGTAAATCATAAACGGAAAAATATATCTTGTAGAAAACTAATTGCAACTAATCAGCTTATGTTAATTTTAAATAAAATTTAGCTCCTTTCTTTGATTTCTTACTATCTTCACACCTGAAAATTTACTCAGTACTGGATGGTCGCGAACTCGAGACTTTAGACATCTCCAGGTTCCTAATCTATCATCTAGGCTGCTGCGCTATTTCTTCAACTAATTTAACTTTCTGATACTAAGTGCTTTTTATTATCCCCATATGCAGCCGAAGTACTAATTATAGTTTTTTTATAATATTATTTAGTACAATCACAAAATAAACTATTTGTACTTGAAATATTTCATATAATAAACGAGAAGTCAAAGATATATGCATAAAATATTTATGTAAAATATGTTTACCTAAGTGTTGAGATTAAGAAACATTACAATTAAAAATCATTTGAAGAAACATTATTAAAACGTTAAAAATAATGGGATAAGTTCTCTTTTTTTCATTAAAAAGTTTTTTTAATGTTTGGAAAAATATTTTGATTTTTAATATTTAATAAACGTTTATTTTAACATTTAGAAAATATTTTTTAAATGTTAAATGTTAACATTTAGAAAAACGTTTTTTAGATGTTAAAATAAATGTTTATTAAATATTAAAAACAAAACAATCTTCCAAACGTTATTTTAATGAAAAAAGAGAATTTGTCCCATTATTTTTAACATTATTTTAACGTTTTAAAAATGTCTTCAAATTTTTTAAAAATGGTTTTTTAAATATTGTTTGCTTCATAAACAGTAACAGAAATAATAAATAAATAAAATATATTCGCAATATTTTTTTAATATCGCTGTAATATGGCTAAAATAATATTTCAAATTAATGTCACTATTAATGTTTCTGCAACATTGCATTGCAATATGCAATGTTGCAACGTTGTAGCAATATTGTTGCAAGCTTCTGTGCTGTATGGGATAGTAACCAAAAATGATAGTCTGAGTGAAACTCAGGATATATATATATATATATATATATATATATATATATATATATATATATATATATATATATATAT